TACAACGCGTTGGCTAGCTAGAATGCTGGCCATCTGCCGTACAGTAGCAATACGGGGCGGCATGCCACGCTGGTCTATTAACAGAATCCTCTGTATAAGAACCTCTTCTTATACAGGTGTAAGACGGCGATTTTTGGAGATAGCACCGCGTTGTGGAGGAATACCACGGGCGCGACGCGTAACCGTCTTTCTGGGCACATCGTATAGTTTCTCAACGCCTCGGAAGGATGTAATTTGGCCGGTCTTGTAGGCTTGAACGCCTAGAATAACTCTGCCTTTTTGAAAGATGGCTTCTTGTTGTTGTGGTGCTGCTATTAGGGTGGTTGTTAGACGACGCGTCGCGTGTTAAGTTGGGTGGGCCACTAGCTTATGCGGGCTACTAACTTATAGATTACGTTATAGACTAAAGATAAGGGACTTATTAAATATAATTTTAGGGAGAAGGAAAGTATTCCTTACTAAAGTTAGTATTCTCTTAGAAATATATAGATATTAGCTAAACTTAAAAACTTATAGGACTTATATATCCTTTATTCTAAGGAACTCCTTTATAAATTTAAAAGTAAACTCTAGTAATACCCGATAAGGCCTACCCTTTAGATCCCGGAGCAGCGTAACTAGTATATACTAATAGTAGAGTATAAGAATAGCTTATAGCCGATTTACTATAAAACTACTAATTTATAAATAGAAATAGTTTTATATTCTATACTATCTATAAGAAAACCTTTTTTTAGTTATTATAAAACTTATTTATAGTACTAGGGTCTAATCCTCTATAAATATACAGGCCTTATCTCGCCCTATTTTTTTTAGATTATACTTCTTTACTAGTTTTCGCAGCACCTACAGTTTAGCTTAGATATAAAGTCTTAAATAAGAGGAAGAATTTAAGTACTTTATATATACTCTAGTTTATTTTACTATTTATTTTATTACTAGTTACTCTTTTATATACCAGGCGATATACCTTTTAGTATATCCTAAGGAAGCTAGTATACTTAGTACCCTAATATTTCCTTCCTTTCTTCCTTTAGCGCTAACTAAGTAGCCAGTTAAAAAAAGTATATAATATGCAGACGGACACAGTTATATAGTTATAGAGGCAGTTTTTCCTAAGGTATACCTAGCATCTATACTATATTAGCGTTATATATTTTAAGCCTAGCGCGGGTTAATAAAGGAGTATAAAAACTAGTAACCTACTAATTCTACTAATCTTCTATATAATCTAGCAGGCAAGTAGTACTATTCTTATAGTTCTTTTTTATATACTCTTAATTATTAAATAATTCCAGCTATTAGAGATAGTGCTTACGCGGACGGTTTTTATTAGGGGAGAGCTATACTCTATCCTCTATACCTTTGTATTGCTTATTATCCTTATTATTTTTATCGGTATAAGTATTAACGTCGGTTAGATTAGTATCCGATTCTATACCGTCGTCTACGTTAGACTCCGCATACTCGCTCGCCTTAGAGGAATTATTAACTAATAAACAACAGCGTATATCGCGTTAGTACGTAGAGGTCGACGAAGGAAGGGGATATTAGAGAAGGCTAGGATAGTAAACAACGTAGTAGATAGTAGATACGCAGCTAGTCGAGCGGAGGAGAGTAAAAAGGGGGGGGCTCTTATATGCGGATCTATAGCTAATAAGGAGCAGAAGGTTTTAAATACGCCGCTGGCAGGGCGGCCTTAGTTTAGGTCGATATAATACGGGCGTTAAGAATAGACTAAGGTTGCAGGCGTGCTGTTATATTCTAGGACAGAAAACGGGCTCTAGGGTGGCTTAGTCTATTCCGTCGACTATTAGCGCCTACGCTAGCTAATATAGGAAACCCGAAGGGTATATACGCTCGAGCTAGCGCCGGCGCGTTTAGGGGTTTTTTACGGCAAGTTAGCCTTAGAAAACGGCGTTACAAGCCTCTAAAATCGGCGGCTAAAACGCCGTTAGATTGTTTAAGGTAGATAACTTTTAGAAATACTAATAAAAAATAGATAGCAGAATAATAGATTACTGTTCTAAAGCAGAAAGGCTTAACTAGCTGCTATACTTTAGAATTTATGCAAATTATATTTAAGCTATTATAGGGAGATAAAGCTCTAAAAGTATAGTACTATAGAGGTTTTAAAGAAAATATTAAAGATAAAATTATATAGGGTAAAAGGCTGCTAATACTTTATAAACTTAAAAAAATAGCTATATAAATTAACAGCCGCTAGTATAAGCAATAACTAGAACGGGCAGATAAAAAGGAACTATATTCCTACGCCTAACTAGTAAGGCTAAAGTAGAAAGTAATAAATTGCAACTATAGAGATTATATAGAGATTTATATTATAAAACAACGCAATAGCCCTAAGGGAAAACTAATAACTAATAAAAAAAGGCTAAATAGATACTGTAAGGGAGCGTGCCTATTATATAGAAAAATCGGCCACTTTGCTAATAAGTACCCTAGGAGCAATTAAACAGCAGTAGTTATAATAAAAATAAGTAAAGGTTGCTATAACTTAATATTATAGATAGTATACTATAACAACAACTGCTTTATATATTAATCGGATAAGTAAGCAATAGGATACTATCTAATATAGCAGAAAGAAGTACGCACTATTACTATAATAATAAAGAAAAAGTATAACAGCAACCTTATAGGCAACTACTATAATATAGAACCCGATAGTATAGAAATTAACTACTTTTTAGAAATAGATAAGGCGTTCTAGATAATTAAGCTATAATTAGAACCCTAAACTAGCTTACCCGAGCTATAGAGTAATATAGAACCTAAGTTACTATAGACTAAGTTATAAATTGCTAAGGTTATAGCTATATATAAAGAAAGTGCAAGAACAACTTTTATATAACTAAATAAGAATTAAAAGGCATAAAAGGCTAAAAATGCTATAGTGGGCGCAAAGCTAAAAAAAACCAGCTAGTTATAGTTTCCTATAAGCAATAGGAAGAGTTACCGGACAACTTATTAAAGAGGAAGGGGTAAAAATAGCTATAGTCTAGAAAAAACTAATAGCTATAGATAGGCTAAACACTAAAACGCCTAATAATAAGAAAGAACTATACTATAGTAGCAGTAAATACTGTAATAGTAATAAAAACTATAAACTAAAAACCTAGTCCAGTAATAGAAAGTTTAGTATTAGACTAAAGTAAGAACTGCTAGAGCTATATAGAACTACTAAAGAAACTAAAATTTATAGGGCTTTATACTCTATTAGTAAAATAGGCGTCTATAATAAGGAAAATTAAAGAATAGATAAAAACTACCTACTTTATAGATAGATATTATAGGTGTTATATATAGAAGATAAGTACTAGCTATACCTATTAGATAAAAAGTACTATAGATAGTATCTATACTAAACTAGATATTATATTATTATATAACTAGTATTAGCTAAAAAAACAGAGCACTATATTATAGGTAAGAAGAATAAACTTATAGAAATAGCTACTATAGTTCCGGACCCTTAGTACCTAATAGGATATTAAAAAGGCAAGAACTAGCAAATATATTACTAGGACTTATATTTAGTATACTGTAAAATAAAGTATGCAAACTATTAGCTATAAAGATAGCTAAAAAATAAAAAGGCGCTTAAGTAATAGAACAGCTAGAGCAGCTAAAAATAAGGTTCTACTAAGCAGATATAGGCAAAGGAATATAAAGCGCGACTATTACTACTTTAGTAAAAAAAGCCTATATTATAATAAAGGAATAGAACCCGGTAATAGAGCCTAATACTATTCCTATTTAGAACTATAGATATATAATTCTATTAGTTAAAATTAGTAGGAACCCTGTAAGGGCACTGCTAGACAGTAGTATATAGGGCAATTTTACATTCTATAACTTTATTAGGAAAAACCGGATTCTATAGTAATAGAAAAACAGATCCTATAGACTATATATAGTAGATAGTACACCTGTGCAATATAGTAGCAGGTAAGTAACTATAGAAACTTAGCTAAGAATTATATAGATTAAAAAATATAGAGAAACTATTAGTATAGATATAACTAATACGGCGAGATATAATATAATTTTAGGTATACCTTAGCTAAGACAGTATAACCCCTAAGTTAATTAGAAATTTAGTAAAGTAAAAATTTAACCGGAAAGCAGACTAAAAAGCACCCTACGTTAGGATAAGCCTAAGCAAAAATTAGATATTAATATAAACTTTTTATAAGGTATAAAAGCCTAAAGAAAAGAATAGGTAATAAGCTAATAGTAGCCTTAACCTATAAACAGCCGGCAGCTAGCCAAGATAATAAAAGCACCTAATATGCCCGAAGAATATAATAAATTTAAAGGAATCTTTATAGAAAAGATTTAGAATATACTACTAAAGTACTAATCTTAGGATTACTATATTCCTCTAGTACTAGGCAAACAACTAAAGTTTAAACTAATCTATTTACTAGCCTAGAATAAGCTAGAAGTGCTGGAAGAATACCTAGAAAAAAACCTAAAGCAAGGATTTATTAAACTATTAGAATTGCCTACAGGTTACTCTGTAATATTTATCCTAAAGCCTAATAGTAAATTGCGCCTTTATATAGACTTTAGACAATTAAACTAGATTATAATTAAGAACTATTATTCCCTACCTTTAATTTCTAAACTTAAGGATTAACTATATAAGGCTAAATACTTTATAAAGCTGGGACCTACGCAAAAAATACTACTTAATTAGGATTAGAAAAGGTAAAAAATAGAAAACAGCTTTTAGAACTTAATACAGATATTTTAAATATATAGTAATACTATTTAGGCTTACTAATACACTAGTAATATTCCAGGCAGTAGTTAACTCTATATTATAAGGCTACTTAGATAGGTTTATAGTAGTATACCTTAATAATATTCTAGTATACTTAGAAACACTAAGTAAATATAAGAAATATATGCAAAAAATACTTAAAAGGCTTAGAAAATACAATTTTATAGTAAACCTAGATAAGTGCAAGTTTTATAGGTAAAAAGTTAGATTTCTAGAATATATTATTAGTTATAAACTATTATAGTAGTCTCTAAGGCAAAGCCCTATAAGTAAGGCTACCTTAGCAACGTTAGTTATAGGCCCCGCTAGCGCGGAATAGACCGGATTAGTCCGCATTAGCTAGTATCTAAGGGTTCCGGGCGACCGTAGAATAAGGGCGCCTCCTTGCCCCTATAAGAGAAGTAAGCGGTTTATTCTTTCTTAATAAGTAGAACTTCTACTAACTATTATACTAGACAGCTCTTTTCTATTACTATATATTATTATTTAATAAATAAACCTCTACCCTAAAATACTTAAGAGCTATCTAGTATAGTATAAGGAAAGGAAGTTACTACTAGCTCTTGCTAACTCTGCTTAGAAATAGCTAATCCGGAAGGAAATAACTAGAATAATGCTAATTTTACTGGCGGCGAGAGAAATAGAAGCGTAATCTAAGAACACTAACCTAGTAAAGGCAAATAAAACTTATTTATAGAAGCTATTCCTAAAACCTAACTATTAAATATACTATCTACTAAATAGCTAGAAGCTAGAATTGCTAATAATACTATACTTTTCTAATAAAAAAAGCTTATTAACCAGATTAAAGAAT